GTCTCTCTGCATGCAGTTTAATTAAGTCCAAAGAGAAGCTTATAGGACTGGAGATCTGCAGCAAAAGCTGTTCAAAATAAATGGAAAACTATATAACTAATTCTCAATTGTGTGTATATTGTGGAGACCAGCCTGAATAAATGAAATTCAAAGACAACCCTGAAACCTCATTTAAAGCAAGAGTGTCATGCTTCTTCACCAGCAAACCTTTAACCAGAGCTGGCAGCAAAATGATAAGTTAACTCAGTTGGCTAAGGACATTGCCAGTAAGGTATGTAGACAAATGAAAGCTCCACTCCCTGGCCTAAGTGTGCCAGCCAGCAAGGGCACTGGGTTAACCTGTGAGGATGGGGCGGCACAGCCCACTCCCAGCCCAGGAAGTCCGTTGGAAACCAAGTGAAACATCCCTTGAAAAGGCCAGCAGTCAGGAGAGGTCTCTCATTCTCTCCCCTCCCTGACCTCAGGCGGTGGGACAAATCCAGGGAGCCTGGAGCAGGTGTGGGGAGCAGGGAGGATGCCTCTTATCACTCCCAATTGACCAAGAGTTGCCTCTATTTGGCATGTAAACATTTGGCCTAAAATCAACTGCCAGTCCAAGCTTTCATAATATCCAAGGGCATCCCAATTATTCAAGAACTCTTGTGACATTCTCAAAATAAGTTTAAATTCACTTTCATTTTTAAAAAATGCTGCAGTATGTCTTATCAGTCAGCCTGTCATAATATCAAGCAAATGACAACAGATTATCACTGTTCCTGAATCTGGCTAGAAACCACTGGCTTTAATAAAAATCATAAAGAAACTGGCTTGATAATGAAAGTTGAGAACCAAACTGATGACTGCTTTGAGCCTAGGAAGCCTAAATACTTTGAAAAATTATTACTATTTGGCAAAACAATTCAGCAAGTGTCCAGGTGGAAAAGAAGAAAACAAAATCCTGAAACTTTTTGTTAAAGATTGAATTACAAAATTAGAGGAAGGAAAGAAACGTAGTTGCTGGGACAGATTTGAATTTCAGTTAAGTACTTAATTCCAACATCATGCAATTTTCATCAAAAACAAGAATTCTCAAAGAACATATGGGAGCATGAGGAGCCAAAAACAGGCAATGAGAGGATGGAGCATGGACGCTAAGAAGACCGTGCCCAGGTGAGGTCAGAGGTGGAGAAACGAGCCCCAGAGAAACCCAGTGGCCCACCCATGCCTGAGGGCTCTTTCTCCTGCTGAGGGAGGGACTCCCCTCCTTGTTAGGACACCAGAGGCGGCATGCCTCAGATAAATTCTACCTAACAGTGGGCTCTCTCCCTGTCCTCAGCTGCCCTGTGAAAGGCTGAACTTGAGTTTCAGAAGGGAACTGCCTGTCATCCAGGAAGTGGCCTGGCCACCCCTGCCAAAGGTGGTTGGCTTCTCACTGTTTTTCCAGGAGTGTTGATGGTGACAGGATGATTTCTGCACATTCTTTGGCCAGGTTCCCATATGTAGCCAAGGGCACACCATTCAAGGTGGCTGGGGCAAGGGCTAGTCAAAGCCATGCCTGGTTTACTCCAGAGGCACCCCACTGCTGAGTCCCCTGAGCACCAAGCCCCGATAGAACCCCTACCCCCAACTCCCAAATATGTGGCTTGCCCAAAGTCACAAAGCTAGTTAGTAGCACAGGCCTGACTAGAACCCAGGTGTCCCAACCACAATAACCAATTCACAGCCCTTTCTACCACATTTCTTTGGCCGTGGTGAGCAGAGGGAATCAAACCATGGGTGGAGCTGGAGACTTGAGCGGACACTGATGAAGTCTGTGATGAAGTCTGTGAACCCAGAGAAATGAGGCTCTTTGATCTGTCAGGGGCAGCTTCTTCAGGGCATGGAAGGGAAAAAAAACAAAAGCAAGTTTATACTCATAGGGAAACATAATCTGTGATTATAAATATTTCATGAGCAAAGAAAGCAGTACTGGCTGAGAGGCTAGGGTGGAAAGGGTGGACAGCAAATTAGATCCCAGTTTGCTAAATGATAGGGCAGCTGGAACAGCAGCAAAGCTGAGGCTATTCTGGGCTGTGTACTGCGAGGGCCTGCATCACAAATGAAGCGGGGGCTCTGGCCACTGGCTTTGTGGAAACCACAGACTTCCAGCGGTCAGCAAGAATACCTAGTGGGGAGTGGTTGAGCCCATGGAAGACCAGAGGAGGGGACAGCAAGGACAGTCATTTGAATGACTTGGGTAAACCTCAACAACTGGGAGGCAGGTGAGGGGATGCAGCAGAGCAGCCAGTACCCTGCATACTCGTGAAAGGATGAACACACTTTCTGCTAAGGATAGAGGAAGAAGTTAGCCTGACCCCAGAAAGCAAATGACCTGCAAAGCTAGAGGGCAGCACAGGTCAAGGGGCACTAGTCAGAGAAAAGGCCCAGCCTCTGAGCAGGTGGTACCAGGCTGAAAATACCAATTCCACTTTTCCTTTATCTCAGGACAGGGGTCTCTTCCTCCCACACCCTTTGAGAAGTAGCCCAGAAAACAGAGAAATTAAGAGCTTGCTGACTGACTACCGGCTGCTGCAACTGGAGAGACACCCACCACTGGCAAAGCAGGCCTGGTTTGGGTGTGATTCCTCCTCCTTATTAGCCAGTTGCCACTGCAGCAGAGCAAGTCACCTACACGTTCTATTGGCTCTTCCAGAGGCCAGATGAAGTAGGATATTAGCTCCTAAAATACCCAGAGGTGTTCTTAATCAAGCTTAGTCAGAGGAGCCCTAGGGAGAAGTGCACTCCTCAACTGGGAAGACAGAAAACTAAAAGCTTTCACTTCCTTGCAGTCAAGGCTTAGTGGGCAAGAGGCTCCGAGGTGTCCAGGAAAATTGAATCACTCTCTTCTAGGATCACAGCTAGTGAGAAATCATCTCAAGATGGAGAGGACACATCAACCGCAAAAGACCCCATAACGGTGTGGGAAGACCTGAGTTAAAAGTCATGGGATTGGGCTTCGAGACCAGTCTTACCACTTATTAGTTGTAGGACCCTGAGAAATGTTACCTCATAAACTTGGCGTCCTCATCTAACAAACAAACTCAAGGACTGTGAGGAACACCAAGAATATGTGTATACATAAATGCCTTCAAAATAGATACTGCTTTTCCAATTTAAGAGATTATTTATATCCAGCTACCTACTTGACATCTGTTAGATGTCTCAAAGGCACCTCCATTCAGATGCCCCCAACTGCTCTTCCTCCCCCACTCTCAGGCCTCTCTTCAGGCACCCCAGCTCAAGGTTTGGCAACACCAACCATACAGGAGTGGAAGCCAGAAACTTAGGACCCATTCTTGGCCCTCCCCCACCATATTAATACATTACCAAGTCCAGTTAAATCAACTCCATCTTCCAACTGCACCTCCTAAATTTAGGCTTCTAGTCCCCTCTATCATCACCATCACCACCTAATCCAACATGTCATCATGTTGCACAGTCTCCTACAAAGCCTATGCCCATCCATTCTGGCCTCCCTCAGCCCCTCTCCACAGAGCAAATCTAACCATGTCTCCCCTCCCACCACCCCTACCACTGCTTGCTACAACAGCATCCCAATGCCCTCCAGATAAGGAAACCTCCTTCTCGGAGCTTACAAGGCCCTGAAAAGTCAGGCCCTGCTCCTCCTCCAGCCTCACCTGAGCTACACCAGGCTCCCTCTGGTTCTCCCTGCTCCAGCCACAGTGGCTTTTTCTTCGAGTCCCTGTTACGTACTCCATTCCCTTCTGCCACAGGGTTTCTGCACATGCTCTTTGCACTGAGTGGAACATTTTCTCTTTCTCACTTACAGTTAATGTCTAGCCATTTATTTTTAACCACTGTTCTTCTATCACAATGTCTGTTCATTCTTCAGAATGCGGCTGATACAATTCTTTCACAGGAAGATGCCTCCAATCCCACTGAGAAAATCTAACCCCTCTCTAACAGGCACTTGTTACACTCAGAGATTTGCATTTGAGTAAATATATGATTTGTGTCCATTTTCCTTAGGACACTATAAGCTCCATAGGACAAGGGCCATATCTGCTTATACTCACCTTTGTTTCCCATTGCTGGCACATGCTTAGTGATAAAACAGCTAATATCTGTGGAGTGCTTATTATCATCAGGCACTTATAGGTACTAACTCATTTAACTCTCACATCAACCCCATGAAGTAGGTATCATCATTATAGCCCTATTTTATAGGTGAGGAAACTGAGGGACAGAGAAGTTAAATAATTTGTCCGAAGTCACTATGTGGTAAGTGGTGGAGTCAGGATAAAAATCCAGGCAGTCTGGCAACAGAGCACGTGTTCTTATAATCCTTAAGCTACTCTGCCTCTCTGAGGCCACTGGAATGTTTAATGAGGATATTTTGAACGAATAAATAAATGAATTCATAAATGATGAGGTTCTATCAAAGGAACTATGGGAGACCCCAAACCTCCCCAAGATGACCAGCAAATAAAACAGAAGACAAATTCTCACTCACCTGCACAGGCCCACGATTAGGTCATCTGCAAAACAGAAGAGCTAGTCCTTTTCCCCAGCAGTCAAGGGAAGAAGCTTTCTGCTACAGGCACAGAGGAATGCTTTGGTCACTAGCAGAGGATATGCCACAGTAGAGAAAGGACTACTGTCTGGGTTCTGTCAGAGCCTAAACGCAACATTCCACTAGATTAAACAAGTCACTCTGCTTGTATTCATGCTAACCCAGTAATCTTCATAACCGTTTGGTATCTCAAGCTCTCTGACACAGGGAGAGGATAATTTGAATGTATAAAAAAAAAAAGTTTGCCTAGTTAGAAGTGACAGATGCCACTGCTCATGTACAAACGAGCATTTGGTCTATATCTCCTTTTTCAGAACCAGACACTCCTGGAGCTCATAGGCTACTCCTTATAAAGACTGCCATCTTGTGTGGCCAGACACAGATTGGCCACCTTTTAACTGCTTCAGTACCATCTATCTCACAAACATTCTAAAAAGCACAAGAAGAAAACATATGTGAAAATGTTTATTTGTCACAGGACACTCTTCCCCAAACTCCCCTTCAGCAAAGGCACAGTTCTCAGAACTACTGCATTCATGAGTCCCACTGCAGCCTGCAGCTGGGCTCTGTTCACACGAAGTTCTGAGCAATGGCCAGCACCTTGGAAAACTCGCCTTCCTTCTGGCGTAGGCTGGTGGGGATGGGTGTCTTAATTCGGGTCCCCACAGGGTTCCCATTGTCTTCAATGAGGACCACGTTGTTGGAGTCAAACCTGGGGGTCATCCGGGGACCGGGCATGCGATGCCCCACAATGAGTGCCTTTTTCTTCTGTCCCTTGATGGCCAACAATATCCGGTCGCCCACCTTGCCCACCCCATTCTTGTTATAGACATGAATGCAACGAGGAGGGCGATGGTACGGGGTGTTCCCCAGGGCACTGTTGTCCACCACACGCACCCGTGTCATCTTCTGAATTGCACTGAGGCTCCCGGCAGTGCTGGTGGGAGAGAAAAAAGTTTGAGGTATGTATGTATCGGTCCTGGTCAGGGTGCAGAGGCCTCTGAGAGGGCAAGGCTTGAGAGAGAGCACACATTAGCAACAACACTCTGAACATAGCACAACCCAGGGCCCTGACAGAGTCAGGGGCTTGTGAGGACTTCTCTGTGCCCAAGACAATTCCCTTTCAGCCAAAAGCTTCTGCTGCCAGGTCAAGATCTTGATTTGGATGGGTTTTAAAGGCAACCTGATTTTCTGTTAAACTTCATGGTAGCCTTAATGTAAAGCCTTTGGTTTCCAAAAGGACTCTGAGAATTAAGGGAATATCTTATGAGCCAGGCTTCACCCACTGCCTAGCCTGTAAAACCTGCTCCCCCAGAATACAGGTTGCCAAATTTTCTCACCTTTATGTTGCTGGGAGCCAGAAGATATGAGTGAGTAGGTTTGCTAAGGGAGTCCCTTGACACAATACAGCAGAAACTAGAAATAAGTCGAGGTAACAATCTTTTGTTTTAATGTGTTTTTCCCCACTAGAAAGGAAATTTTTAAAAGGGTACCTGTTAAAGGCAGATAAGCTATTATTAAGCAATTTGAAAACAGTGGAACTTCTACTTTCCTAATGTTACCACCTTAAATTCTGCTGCTTTACACGGTAATCCCAGGTCCTCTCCTCTCATTCCACATGCCTGCTCTGGGCAATTTTATCTAGTCCCATCGATTCCAACTAGTAGATTCCATTTACAGCCCCATCTCTCTCCTGTATTCTAGTCCTGTATTTCCACTTTAAACTCACATGTCCTACAGATACTTCAAACTCAGGGGGTCCCACGCTAACCTCACTGCCTCCCTTTGCTATCTTCCTCTTGTGGCTGCATTTCTTATTGAGATAATGGCTTCTCCAAAAACTCCAGCTCCCAAGCCATATACCTCTCTCCCCATCAATGTCCCTGCTGCCAAGTTCTATTAAATACCACCTCCTAAGCACCTCTGTCCTCTCCCTCCACCCCATCAACACTTCCTGAATTCAGCAGCTCACTCACTTACACCAAGATTGTCACATTAGTGTCTTAACTGGTTCCCAGTGGACCTCACTCTGCCAACCAAGAGCTCTTTTTAGAATACAAAACTGAGTCTACTCCCCTGCTTAGAATTATTCTATGGTTCCCCGCTGTCTACACTATCAACAACCTGGCCCCAACTTACCTGCCATCTGAGGCACATTATCTTCTACCGCTTACACACCCACTCTGTGCCCCAGTGGCCAGGAACCCCTGGAGGTCTCCAAACACACCATGCCTCTCAGCGCCCCCGGAGTCCTAGACAGGGTCTGCTCCCCTCTTCCCTTGGGGGAAGGCCACCTTCACTCTCCTTTCCTCCTCGTCCTCCCTTAGTAGCTCTGACTCAGGCCTTCCAGGGCACCATACAAACCTTTATGTTTATACTTGTCACATTTTCTTAGAGTTATTTGTTTCCAAGTTTGCTCCCACAGCCAACTGTGAGAACTCTTTCAGGGCAGGAAGCAATTCTTATTCATTTCTCTATGACCAATCCTAGGCACAGTGCTTAGTAAACGCTTGTGAAATGAGTGCACGAATGGGGTCAAAAGGCATCTTTGCCTAAAGGAATGCAACCAGTGCTCTCCCCTGGCTTAGCATCTAAAAGGAGGGGAGGTTGTCACATTTTATCAAGCTTGAGTTTTTAGTAATAAGCATGTAATTTTCTAAAATGATTCTATTTTTAAAAGAGAAAGTTTTAATGCACTGGAAGAATGATAGGGTTGAGAGATGTCAGGTTCACTACAAGTCTGGTAAGGAGTGAAAAGTTTCTTCTACCATATGCCATTCTCTATTCCGCTTCCAACAGCACTGTCACCTCCTTACCTATGCCCTTCACTCGACCTGACCAAACCCCAGCTCAGTCTGATTCCTTTAGCTTACTTGACTCCAAGCCCACTCCCCTGAGTTTCCACGCCCACTCTAGTCACCATAATGTCAGCGTTGAAGGGAGGCTTACTCAAAGACACAGCTTTAAGAACTTAATGGGAAAAGTTACCTGAAACAGCGCTGACTGAGTGCTCTGCTTACATGTGTGAAAGGGCCCCTGAGCCCAGTAAAGAGAGCCATGGGATCCCCAGAGGGCAAATCCTGCAGGAAAAAAGGAGGAGGAAAGGATTTAGTCTAAGTCAGTATCCTTACTCAGAGCCAGTTTTTTTGTAAAAGACTGTTGGGGACTTGTGTGGGAGATGGCACTTCTAGCACAAGATCATTAGTCACTAAATATAAATCTTAGTGGCTAAAAGATACGCAGATGAGTAGCTGGAACTCTAGCTACAATTTTGCTGATTCATATTCTAACTGAGGTCAAAGAGCTAGAATGGTCCACAATGGCTCTCACCATAAGGAATGCAATGGCGCAGAGGATCCCTTCATCATGACATCACTTCCATAGGCGGGGAAAGCATGAATCCTCAGGTACACCCCTGGCCAGCGACCACCTTCCAAGTCCCCCACAGAGGAAAACTCACAAACTATTGCCTTGTTGACACTCATGGCCTCCTGAAACCAGAACTTTTACTCCCTGAAAGAAAGCAGATAATCTGAGCAACTGCCCAAGCTGTCTGTCACCACATCACCTCTCTCCCAAAGGTAAAAGCCAGAATACCTGGACAGCTCCAGGCTAGCAATGAAGAGCTAAAAATGCCCCTGCCAAGTCACGGACCAAGGTCTCTATTTGAGTCAATCTCCCAAATAATATTGTAACACAGAAAAACTACCTACCCATACTATAGTTAGAAGCTAGGTTTGGAAAAGTAAGCTAGAGGTAAAAGAGCAATCACAAACCCAACACTGGTGACTCAAGCTTCCGGAACCTCAACCTGTGGCTCCCCAGCACAGTTTCTTGCAACACCTGGGCATGAGTTAGGGGCTCGTTGAAGAAAAACCTACAGCCACCTAGTATTTCCTGCTGCAAAATATGCTTGTTCTTCCATCTAAATATTTGGCTGCAGAGGGCTTCATTCAAGAGCTCTGCTGAGAAAAGCCTCTACCAATGTAGTGTTTACACACAGCGCTGCCTTGTGTAAGTTCAAAGCTCCTCTGATAAGGTTTTATTTAATAAGGGTGGGGGAACACCCACTATTTACTTCCACAAGAATATCCAGACCCTTAAGAAATGCTTATTAACGACAATTTAGCCTGAAAAAGCAAGCTTACTCTCCCAATGTTTTCCTTAAGCCAATCCAAGGAGCGCTGGCCAAAATGTAATTATGATCAGAAAATTAAATGCAAAAAAAAGGCAGCTAACTTACAGAACTAACATCTGACACACAGAATTGAATACTATTAGATGAGGCCAGCTTCACCTTTATAGCTAGGTCACTCTACGCAAGAAACTATGAGCTTTAGTTCCCCATCTATAACACAGGTTTCCCCATCTGTTAACACGCAGTTTCCCATCTGTAACACCTACTCACAAGGTGATCATGAGATAAGCCATTCAAAGCATAGAACAGTACCTAGCACTCAATACCTATTAGCTATCTTCAGCAGCAGCAGCAACAGCATCATCATCATCATCGTCGTCACATCATCTAGTCACATCACTTCTTATTTCACAGATTAGGAAACTGAGATACAAAGAGATGATGTGACTTATGTACAGCCTCACAACTAGCCGAAGGCAGAACCAGAACCAGAAGTGGACCCAGTTCCATTCAAGGTACTTTTCACAATACCCTACGGTCTCACTCTGCCATACAAAACTCACTTCACACAGGGTTAAGAAGCAGCTTTAAGGGTTGTCTGGTCTTTTTTTGTTTCTTTTATGAAAATATATTGAGTAGCTATAATGTATCAGGCACTAGAAGACTAAGTGCTTTACGTTATCATCTCATTTAAGCCTCAAAAAAACCCTATGAAATAGGCAGTATTATCAGCCTTACTTCATACAGGCAGAAATGAGGCCCAGAGAGGTTAATTGGCCCAAGGTCACACAGGAGTGAAAAAGCTGCAATTTGAACCCTCGTACTCAAGCTTCTTGAATCCATGCTCTTAGTCAAGAGTTAACATGGCAAATTTAAATATTTTTCCAATTGTTAAATCATCCTTGTTTCATCAAGAATACTGACCTCACATGCACAATTTACTCATACTCAACTCGATGTTTCCTGAATCAACTGAAGTGTACACAAAGACTAGGTGAAAATTATTCACTTTAATCCAATTTAAGTTTTGAAGACAATTTGTAGTGTAGGTGGCAAGAAGAGCTCCATACTATGAGCAATAACTGAAAATTGGCTTTAAGGAAAATATATAGCTCTGAAAAGCAGTCCTCCTGGTCCAGGCTGCAGTTACCTTCAATCTCAGCCAAGCTTTCCCATCTGATGCTGGCGGGCCCTTGCTCTCGCTCCCTGGGAGAGAAGAGGCTCCTCAGCTCCTCCACAGCACCGCCCACATTTCCTGAGAATGGTGACACCCTGTCTCTCCACTCAGCACTGCTTCCTCAATAACACTTATGTTAGTCCAAGAACTGCAGAAGTGCCTGGGGGCTTCTCAGAACTTTCCTGACTCGGGTATAACAAATGGCACCATTCAAAGCACCTCTCTAAACTCTGCAGGGCAGTCTATGCACAAATCCAAACCCAGGCCTCCTTCTCCACGCTTGCTCACAAGCTATACCCTCCCAAACTACACCCATCTCTACCCAGCTAAATCTGACCCAGCTCCAAATTTATCTCCTCCATGAAGCCTTGTGTAAAACTGCACCATCAGTTGCTACCCCTCCTGCACACTGAGGACATCCGGGCGACCTGTGCCAAAAGGACTCTCATTGCTCCAACTTTCACTATCCAAACTCAAAAACTGAATAAAGTTAAATGCTTCTTTTAAGATAAGGCTGATATCCCTTAAAATTCTAGTTCTTGCTATTCACTATCCCGAACTCAGAAACCACAGAAATCTTGATAATCTGGCATTTGAACTTACTATAGAAACTCAGAAATCACACAGACTCAGATCATGAGGATTACCTGTACTGCTCTCAAACACAAGAGTTAACACATTCCCATCTCCAGGGAGCACTTCCATTTCCACAAGAAAGGGCCCAATTCAAAGACTTTTCACTTTTCACTAGCGGCTTGATGGCTCTAATGGTGACCTCCAGATGCAAAGGACTGAACTCAAATGTACAATAGTAAGCCTTCCTATGAACTTGAAAGCACAAAAGAACCAAATATATTCACTTATTGGATGTATGTTCTTTTTTCCTCAAAAAAAAAAATCTGTGATTCCCTCCACCCCCACCCCAGCAGGTCTCCACTGAGGACTGCAATAAACATTTGTTGGATAAAATAAATGAGGTAGCCAACAGAAAGATAGCCCCTACTCATGGCTCCAAACATACTGTTGAGCTCTTATCTCTCAGGAACCAGGATATCACACAAACATGCTTTAGGAAAACCACGGTGCTGGTTGTGGGAGGATTAGCCCATGCTATGTATACAGACCCCTGGGATCATCTTCCAGGCCTTGTGTCTACACTGCCCACGGTGGAAAAACACCTCATCTCACCACTAAATAACCGGTTTGAATCAGAGAAGAGTAATAGAGGCAGCAATTTACTTCAAAGCAATTTTGATTGGCCTTGATGTTATTTCGTAGCATAAATCCATCCTGTAGACACAGCTCCTGATTCACTTCAGATGTAGTCTATATATAATGCTTTGTTTCAACACAGAGTTTTGTGTTTGCATAGAAAGTAATCCCAACGATATTTCCTCCTCTACAACACTCTCACTCAGAGGAGGTCAGGTGTTCGGAAGACTTCAATGCCAGAGATGGCTTTTCACGCCACTTCCTGGTCAGCATTGAGTATTACCCTCCAGGTTTACAGTATGAATCAAAACCTCTCCACAGAGGGAGAAAGGGAAGGAAGAGTAGAGGAGAGAGTAAGAAAGGGTGGGAGGGAGGGGAGAGTAGGGGGGAGGGAGAGGAGGTGGGGAAGGGAGGAAGGAAGAAAAGGATAAACTACTTAATATAATCTAAGATCCATGTTCATTTTCCATCCTGATTTAACTTTAAAGATCTCCCTTCAGTTGTGGAGGCCAGGGAGAACTGTACATTTCAGGGGCACAAAGGTGAGTTTTTCACTTGACATCACCTTATAGGTCTCATTGGAAGGACACTCCATGAGGGCAGGGGACATGCCTGCCTGGCTGCATGCTCAGAACCCAGAACAGTGTCTGGCACACAAATGCAGCTCAATGAGTATCTGTTAAATGAATAAAATTAATCTGCAGTTGCAATTCATTCTGCAGCTCCATGTTGGGGAGGGCGGCGGGGGAGGGGAGGGTTGTTGGTCATTCTTGTACCCTTCTCCCAGGTTCCCAGTGATTTGAGCCTCTTACTGAGAGCTCATTTTAAGCTAATTTTAATATACAGAGTCTGAGCTGAAACAAACAAACAAACAAACAAAAAAGAGCCTACACCTCTGATGCTTTGTGGAAATCTGGAAAATACCATTACTTGAGCTTTGAGGTTCATGGAAATGTATTTAGTATCGTAGACTTATGTAAAATCATACATTGTTTCCATGTGAAAATTTCCATCTGTTAGGAGCTACCATGTTACATACATTTCAAAGGCCTTTCAAGAGGAAATAGGCTCTACAGAAGAGATAAAACAAATAAGTTCCATGGTCAAAAAAGAGTGCTTCAAGGAGGTTCTGTTATTAACAGCAGGGAAAAGAAACACTAAGAGAAATCAAATGCAATGCCCAGACACAAAAGGGACAAACTGCCAAGTGTGAGGATGTAAATGTCCTTCTTAAAGCAGGAAAAAGCAGTGTCGAGGAGTCAAGAAAAGGAAATCCCAGGACCCTGTATTGTCCTGCAGACATAACCTCTGCCATCTCCTGCAGCTTTCACCCCAATCATTCTGGACAAATTAAGTGCCTTATTGCTGCTTAAAAACTCATTACTGTTTTGTTGTCCAAAGATCCTCTCCTAGGATTATTTTTTCTTCTTAACCTCACACAAGTATAACATGTTACAAATTCTCAAAGTACTTTCACCCAGATCACTTTCTTGGATGATTTCATTCCTGAGCACCCAATAAAAACACAAAGACAAAAAAAAAGAGCAACAGTCTGTAGGGGGTTCAATCAGCTAAGGATTCTGAATGGTTCTGGGGGCACAATAAAGTACCATTTTGCAGAGTAGAAATGAAGTCTGAAATAATAAGCAACTTAATGACTTGTCCAAGATTAGTAAATGCTGCATAATACCTGTACAGCTAAGATGCTACTTTAATCACTAATAAACTTCACAGAATAAAAAAACACAGCCCCACACAGGGCAAGTATATTTTCTTCTCTATCAAGCCTGTCACATAATCTTTAAAAACTCAGGAATTAAAATTTATTTTCAATAAATACCTGCACTACATCCAGCACAATCGATAACAAAAGCTGAAGTTGATCTGATTCACCTGCCAAGGTGAGTCTTCAGTGTCACTGTCAATAAGCAAAGTATTCCTCAATAGCTCAATGGGCCATCTCTGCCACAGCTGCCACTGAGGACCCCATTTCTCAACTTGATTCACAAAAGAAAAATGTTTCCATGGTTTTTGTCCTATATTTATTTATTCGTTCACCTCATGCCCTACCTTCTTAAAAAATATTTAAAGCAGTGGTTCTTAAATATATCTGACAATTCTCAAATATTCAAGCTGATTTTTCGATGTGTAAATTTTATCTATTCTGGCTTTGCTCCCCCTCCATCCCCACTTCACAAGTGTGCAAACACCTATAGTTCAGGAATAATCAGTATGGTGAAAATCAGAGAGTGAAAATTGTACAAAGTTCTACTGGTGTACATATTTCCATCCTATTATCACCTCTAGTGGGCAAGAAGCCAGGCTTATGGAGCTGTAAGGTGGGCAGAGGGGCAATGGGGGAAAGGAAGAGCCCAGGGTAGTCCCTGGACTCAAATAGGAATGCTGCTGATGGAAAGCGTACCTCCACCCCATCCTCCCCTCACCTTCTGCTAAGTCTGTGACCTTGGAATCAACTTCTCCAGGCCTCAATGACTCTCTGCCAAGCAGGGGTAATTAGGAACAAAGAGGCATGGAAGTGAATGTGCTTTAGCTTCACTCATGTAAGTGATTGTTTTAAAGTGGGAAATCCCTTTCTGAATTAACCGATAGGGGCCAGATCTGCAGGTTAAGCAGTTTGTTTCCCAAATCCTAAACAGGGACAACAGCCTTACTCCCTGATTCTCAGGGCAGAACTACAGGTGTCTCTTTAAGATCAATCAATCCTAAAAGTGCTTTTTAGCTTAAAAGACATGGAAAGTGCTCCCTCTCTTTTCTAAAGGCATTAGATAATTTTTTAAAGTTCTGATAGGCAGACCTTCCCACTTTGAGTTGTTTCACTAGTGAATAATAAGCAATCTAGTATCTTTCTTAACAAGAGAGCATATTACCTGACCCAGAGCAACATTTCTGGTATCTGAATCTAGCCCTCTCTTACACGCTGGTTGTCACTGTTAGTATATGTGTAAATAAACGCCAGGACAAGCTACAACCCGGAACAAACTATCAGCCTTTAAAAAGGAAGGCTAAATCGTAACCTGGTTTTTGAGACCTTCCCAAGCTCCCAGTCATAAAAACTAAACAATATAAAAATCGATCATATGTGGATCCAGGTGTCATAATCCAAGACAAGAGTGGGGGCAAGACAGGCTTTAAGGACTCCTGCATCCTCTAAGATTCTAGATGCTGAGTCTAAATAATGATGTTCATTGCCCAACAGAGTACCTCCTGAAATATGGACTCCAGGGAGGGTTTTCAACATTCATATTCAAGGGCAATAATAAACCTTTTGGCCACTGTTATTTCATGGATTCCACAGTACACTAAATTCCATTCTCATTTCAGGCTTTCTGGAATGTTTCCTCTTCCTTCTGTTAACATGTGGTGACCCTAATCAGGCACAGGCAGAAATGGATCAGGAATCCACATGCTCAGATTTATAACTATACTATTAAAAATAATACATAAGAAATGCTTTCAATGATTCTCAGAGTGATTGATCCTCAGTGATCCTCCAAAAACTAGATAACTATAGCCTCCATTTCCACTTTCCAGATATCCATTACAAGTGCTATTTAGCAATGGATCACATCAGCTTTACAACCATATAATCAACTCATTATGTAAAAAGATCCATAGGAAATACACATCAAAGAAGCTCTAAGGGTAAAATGGACAATTCTATCCAAGAGAAAAACAAAAACAACTAGAACAAATCCCTTTTCATCTAACTGCTCATTCCTACCCAAAACAATTCCCAGAATCCAAAGCTACAAAGACACCTGCCACCAGGCAGTCTACCAAAGACAGCTTCACCTTATCTTCCTTTCTGTCTTTCCTAAGTAAGCCAACCTACTTTCTACCACGACAAAATCTTCAATTGCAGGTATTTCCAATGAGTGAAAAGTGAACTGTCTTCTTGCGCAGTATCCTCGGGAAAGAAAGAGACCCACTCTGTTCCTGGTGTGCTAATGAATCCTGCTGGACAATTCTAAGTGAGAATTCAGGCTGCGGAAGGCAAGAAGCAACAGAAGGATACAGAAGACCAATGTTTCGAACTTTTCTGTGACACACTGAAAGAAATACATTGTCTCATATCTCTTAACACATTCGCACAGGTTTATATACTTGAAGCAAGCGTTAAGAAACAATACTTAACCCTTACTAAAGACAATGCACTGTGATATCTTCGACTGTTTTTAAATGACAGCTGTGATCCATTCAAATTATTTCCAACTAACCAATGGGACTCGGTTTGAACGGGAGTTCAGGTCACCGTCTTTGTGTGGGTGATAGACACATGCGCGTGCACACACACACACACACACACACACACACACACACAGCTATCTCCCTCCCTCTCGCCCTCTCTCCATCTTTCCAGCTTTAATCCCTAGCAGATGCAGCCTCTGGTGAAATGAGAAACCAGGGAACCCCCTGGAGCTGGGGAAGCCACTCATCGGCAGTGGACTCACTCTCCTCACCACAGAAGAACCTGACAAACAAGTCACAAAGTCATCTCCAGACCCAACCTGGGAAGGGGAGGGAGGCCAAGAGAAGCGGACAAACTCGAGGAGCCACGCCAGAGCGACCGGCCGAGGCCACCTAACGAAAGCCTGACCGCAGCTCGCCATTCCACAGGCCGACCCCACATCCCTGGAAAGATAGGTGAGCGCTGGCCGGGGGCGGGCGCTGGGGCACAGAGGCCACGGGAGCCCCCGCCGCTCTTGGGAAGTGAAAGGGAGGAGGTCTGGGTCAGAAGTCTCCTCTCCCCGTGGGGACCCTTCCCACTGCCCTTGTGCACCCAAAGACCCACTATCTGCCCACTCCGGCCTCTTCTCACCCACCCCAGGGAGTGACCCTCCCCTAGTGCAGGGAAGAAAAGGGAGTCAGACGCTCCCGTCCCCACCCCCACTTCATACCGCTCTCGCCGCCCCGGAATATCCCGCCGCGGGCCTCGCAGGCCAAGCGCCGCCTTCCCCCACACCCCACGCGGCCTCCCCACTGCGCCTGCGCGCCGGACTCAGCAGGACGGGCGGTGATCTGAGAGTGCGCGCGCGCGCCGTGCGTGTTCTGGCGTGGGGGTGGGATCTGTGCGGCCCCGCCCCCTCTTCCCCCTCCC